AGACTTTGTTCTTCAAACTGACGTAAAATTTTACGACATATAGCACCAAGTTTTCCATTTCTGTATTTCACAGGTTGACTTTGATTCTAACCATATTATTTGGCTGTTGTCCCAACGATATTATCTTTCCAAACACTGGCTGGCCACTTTATTAAGAAACGTATCTAATAATGGGTTGGACCACCTTTTACCCAAATTATACCCATGACACGACTAAGCATAGAATCCACAAGGGACTGTCTTAAGGGGTTTTCTTCCCATTCAGGCATTAATATTGTAAGCAATCCACGGAGCGAGGTTGGCAGAAGATTGTGATGGCAAATGTGTCATTCACATTTATCCCACAGATGCTCAATTAGATTACAATCCTGGGATTGTGGTGAAATGTCTGAAGTCTCAGACACGTTTTCCAAACAATGCAGAAACAGTTTGGTCACGATGGAAAGAAGCATTGTTGTATTGGAAGTAGCTGGATGTACATGTTCAGAAATGATTCTGAGATCAGTTGTGTCATTCGAATGCCACTAAGGGGACTAGAGTATGCCAGGAAAACATGTCTCAAGCTATGACTCTACCACCAGCGGCTTGGACAGTTGAGACCACACTAGAGGATTGAGTTGTTATTGTGTTTGTTTTTTGAAATATCTGTCTTCTCCCAAAACAGGATAAAGTGTGATTCATTGTACCGCATAGCCTTTCACCAGTCATTATTAGTCCAATGACTACTCTTTTTACATCATACGAGACGTTTCTTTTCTTCTTTTTTTCTATAAGTAACTGAATCCAGTGGTTTATGCAATGATCTCCTACTGTCACAGTCCATTTGTTGTAATGTTTATCGCAAGGTGGGGCTGTAGATGCGTGTTGATTGCCCTGCACTGAAAATTTCTGTCGGTCTATTGTTTGATGACGGTTGGACCATCTGGTTTAACCACCGTTCTCCACTTTCTGTCATTACTTGTTTGTGGCCACGATTCATCCTCACAACAGACATTTTATTAAACATTCTCCATTACTGATAAACTCAAATGACCAACCAACGAAACTTGAAACATTAGTTCTCAACCTAATTTGTATCTGCAGCTCAGGTGAGGCCTAAATCTGAAAGGGTGCATAGTTCCTAATAGTGGCAAGCCAGTGTATATTTCACAACAATTAATCCAGATTCACGAGATTGGTATTCCACTCAGGGATGTGCAACAATACACGGCACGGACTTGTTATTCAATGAAAGGCTGGGCCAGGCATGGCCAGGTGGTTAGGTCCCACCAAACATACTCGTCCTTTCAGCCCTGGGGGCGTTATAACGTGACGGTCAATCCCACTATTCATTGGTAAAAGAGTAGCCCAAGACTTGGCGGTGGGTGGTGATGACTAGCTGCCTTCCCTCTAGTCTTTCACTGCTTAATTAGGGACGGCTAGCGCAGATAGCCCTCGTGTAGCTTTGCGCGAAATTCAAACAAACCAAACTGACAGTAAATGGAAGAGAGTTACCTGAAAGTTGAATTTCATCCACTAATTGGAGGATTTAACGCCGAAATATTATATTTTACGTAAAATAACAAGAGGGGAGTCACTCCAGACACCGGCGATTTAAGGTTATTTCAATATATCTCGAAGAAGAAAGCTCGGCACAACTTTAAAACGAGAGAAAATATGACAAGATAAAACCTATATGGATTATACTGGGCATAATACCATCCTTCATATTTTTACTCTTCATTGCAGAAATGGCATTTTAAATTTGAGAATCGCTAGGGAAATCCTCTCGCAATGCATCGTGCTTCTGCTTCAACTTCAACACTACATCTTTAGGCTTTACTGTGTCGTTGGTTTCACAAGATGTTGAAACTAATAATTTCTTATATATATAATTCCAATCCACCTTGATGAAGATAACGATACTAATGTACTAGTTTAGCTGTCAATGCAGCAATCAATTGACAGCTGTTATGTCAAATCGACTAAGATCATCTAACACTGTACCCTCGGTTTAGCTCAATTAATCGCTATATTTAAACTATCACATCCACAACCACATTTAAAACATTTCATTGCTACACCGTTTCGAGTCACTTTACACTAACGACTTAACATCTCCATGTTGGCTCTCGTGATCTCGGATGTGGTCCAGCGACCTTGAACTCGAATATAATCAAAACAACTCAAACCGCCCCCCCCCTCCGGTGGCACAACGGCACTTCAGCGGACTTACAACGCTAGAATCCGGGTTTCGATACCCGTGGTGGGCAGAACACAGGTAGTCCATTGAGTAGCTTTGTGCTTAATTACAAAAAAAAACAACCCAAATCTTTCCAGAATAACGTTGTTTTTTTATATACACATCAAGATGTTGGGCAGGCGTTAACTTTTTACACGAATTTGAATAAGTTTGAAAAATATGCCGAAACATTGAAGAAATAAATCATTAAGTTTTCGTAAACACAAAAAATAACGTGTAAACTAAAAAAAAATTAAATAAAGTTGGTCCGTTGCTTCAAATTAGCACCTGGGGTGGGTATGGTTCACGTAAGCATTATACCTCCTCCAACGAAAGTTTGTTAATGTTTTTCAAATAAACTAAACGACGTAGTTTGAAAATATTGCAAAACTTGCTGATAAAACTCGATCAAATTTCATGTAATGTGTTTTTCACTCCGATATGAATATTGGACTTTTCAACCTGAACGGCACCCTATGCACACGTGAGTTAGACGGCCAGGTCAGTGACCCAGATTATTCGTCCCTAATTTTGAACTGTTATTAACCTGAGGTAAGACAGACAGCCAGCCACCAGGGACTATGCCCGGCCCTTTTAAACAAATAACGGGATTGACTGTCACTTTTATAATGCACCAATTACTGAAAGTGCAAGGCGTGTTTAGCAGCATTACGCCTCGAAACCCGGACCCTTCGTTTCGCAGTCTGACATACTAACCACTAAGTCAAGACTATATTTGACTATTTAAGTTTATGACACTTATTTTATTCCTCTTTTTTTATTAAATTGTAGACAACAACCGATGAAGAACTTGGTCAGAAACGTTTTAACTATTTCTGAAGTGTTTATGCTGAAGATGGAATTAAAAAAATTCTTAACCATCCATGTTGTTTATCCTATCAACAGTTTTAGGATCTAAGATTTGCGTCAAACGAGTCTTGAGCTTCTTGTACCCAAACAGTATTATTCTAACTATAGTTACGTGACACCTCTTCGCTTGCACACAGATGTACATTGTTTAAAGCCTGTATTGCAAAGTCAACACATTTTGTAAATCACCTTTTTTTAAGAGATCGTTTCTCGCGAAACTGAAATAGACACAGTGGTACCGGTTATCGTCAATAAAAACTGGAGATGGGGAAGATGTGTGGCTTTTTTCAGGATATCATGATAACAAACATTTATGTTCCAGGATTTCTAGTACTGAAAATTTCGCTTACAAAAGTCAATGACTTTCCAGGATTTTCATGACCTGTGTGAACCTTTCCAGCCCTACCGATACGAAGGTTTTCTCAAAAACCGATTAAACTGAACTAAGCCGAGAGGAAAATTGGAGTGTCATTTTGACAAGTCTTAGATGTTGATGAACTCAAATCAGAAGTTTCAAAATATATACACTCAATTAAACCCAATCGAAAGATGTTTGGAGGTTGAAGCATGCAAAATTGAATCCTATGTTCTTGACTTTCAATGATCGTTTGCCTTTCTTCAGGAATACACAGGAGTTAACACTAATCTGAAATAGTAATTTATTTTCAATATGCTTTAAAATGTACACACCCGCCTCTTCATTCATTGATTGTTGTTTTATGAATTTCGCGCAAAGCTACAGGTGGTCTATCTGCGCTAGGCGTCCCTAATTTAGCAGTTAGTCATCATCACCACCCACCGCCAACACTTGGACTACTCTTTTACCAACGATTAGTGGGATTAACCGTCACATTATAACGCCCCAACGGCCAAAAGGTCGAGCATGCTTACTGTCAGAGGCAGGATGTGAATTAGTGGTTAGTGTGCCGGTTTGTGAATCTAACGGTCCATGGTTTTGTCCCGCGGCCACAAAAAACGCTCTCCGCACTTTGTGGCTCTTGATGCAAGTCTCACTATTCGATTTAAGTAGTTTATTCGATATTTTTACTTTCGTGAGGAATTTTATCCACTTGGCCCTAGGCTAGGTTATATCTTTACTTCAGGCTTATTTATTAATTTCTGTAGTTCATACCAATATTCACAACACTCACAAGGTTTACGTGGGTGCTGTTGACTAGTTGCTTTTCTTCTAATCTGTTAGTTAAAGATTAGGGACGGCTGGCACGGATATCCATTGTATAGCTTTAAACACACAATTATGTAATTCATAGAACTACTACCCGATTCTATTGTAGGTTGTAAATACTCAACCACGTGTCTGAATATAAGTTTAATTTTTATCTCTCGTTTAACAGCTTTGAACTGAAGTATCGTTAATGGTATTAATTTGTGTGAAAACTGTTTGGGCTCCAGGGTGCAGAAACTAGAGGTGCTGAGGGCACGGAAGTACCCCTTGCTTGAAGTACGAGGCTGCTGCACACCCTTTGGTGTTAGAAGTGTTGATTTACAAGGATTATATATTAAATTGCATGTTTGTCAAAAACTTTTAGTATGGGGAATATTCAGTGTTCTAGCATGGATTCGAACCCGGCTCGTTCGCTTCGAAGACCACAGAGGGCCAAATATCACCCAGACCGAATGAATGGATTCCATCATACCCAGAGGTTACTATTTTGTTCAATGATTTTAGGACCCCACACAGAATTATTCCAACGTTACTGTTTGGACTCCAGTTATCAGAAAATACTTTTTTGCTTTCTGCTGCCCGGATTCTAGCTAGTAATGTGATTATTATGTGGTTTATATTGTAATTACGTTAAGAACGAATACACGTAAAAAAAAAAGTACTGTTCTAATGCAGTTTGAAGCAACGTTAGATTTGTGACTGGTTTTATGTTCGTTTGTATAGACTCGTTTCACGAGAAAAGGCATCCCGCTAGTGACGACGTCAAGGTCACGTTCGCACTTCTGCATATCTTGTTGGCGAGGTGCAGTAACGGTTCACTGCCCTACCGTCGGGAGGTTCAGACAGAGGAGGTATTCACCTGGGTTCGCCTCTCTCGGCGCTAATGTTAACATACACTCAACACAGTGTCGTTTCTCCATCATTCCAGAACAGATAGAGTAAGGGTGGTTACCATGACATTGTCCTCTTAGTAGCGAGCAGTGTTGCTGCATTTCTTTAGTTAGGCCAGCCCTACTTAGTGGAGCCAGGTTGAAAAGCAATAGGTTCGGTATAGCAGGTGATATTTTATTTCTGTTCTCTTAACAATATAATAATTAGCTTTTTATTGTGTTAAAAACTTTCAATCTTAGTTTTCAACGCTTAAGACACCCTGGTCTACACTTTACTGTTTCACAATGAAATTCGGTTTAACTAGTAATACTAGTTACACATTGTTCAACATACCATGTCGTCCATAAGCCTAAAGATTTCTATGTGTATAAATGGTCTTCCAGCTTAGCATAAGAATTTTTTTCCATATTAAGTTAAAAGAAATTGATTTTAAGTTTGTCCACTAGTCACACAGCCTCGTCAACATATCTTTTTTGTTTATCTTTAGTTCAAAGAAAGTAACATTTATTTCTTTAGTTTGAACACTGAGGAATGGGAAGATCAGGTTATACTTGTGTTCGACACACACTGTGTTGCCTCAATCTTATTTTCTGGGTGAGTTTTTATGATTTAATTTTATTTATTTTTATGAGTTTTTCTACACTGTCTCACAAGATGGGCAAGAAACAAAATATTATGCCAGTTATTATAAACAAGTAGTTTTTTACAGTGCATGTATAAAGTACACGACTCCAATAGCAACCCACCTCTTTTGTTTCTCTTTGCTTAGAAACAGCCCATAAAAAGTTTTCTATCTTAGAGAGCAAGATGTTTTTTGCTTTTGTTATCAATAGCTTTTTGGTCAAAGCACGTTGCACACACGTTTTAGAACTAACATTTAACTTAGTAATTAATTTAGTATACCAGTATGTATTGTTATAAAATGGCTCATGAATTAGGTATACATACTTTTATTGATATCGTTTCCCATTCTACTAATAACAACACACAAAGTTTGGCTCAGCTTAAGAAATCTAGGTTGATTCAAAGAATGTAACTTGTCAAGAGTAGCTTTCTAGTAGAAGTAGCCAGTCAAGAGTAGCTTTCTAGTGCAGTAGCCAGTCAAGAGTAGCTTTCTAGTAGAGTAGCCAGTCAAGAGTAGCTTTCTAGTAGAGTAGCCAGTCAAGAGTAGCTTTCTAGTAGAGTAGACAGTCAAGAGTA